GGTGACTGGAAAGATAATTGAATGGCCAACGTGGTTTCTCTAGACCCTTGCCAGGCAAACTGGAAAACAGATGGCTTACCTTGCTTTCCCTCCAACCTCCTAGCATCCTCATGGGTCTTGCAGGAACCAGGGCTCTCCCGTTGTCCTCAGACATGCCCACCCACCCCCAACCTTTGCTCCGAAATAATTCTCCTTCTCCTCCAATCATAGCTTTTTTTTCTTTACTCTGAAAATAGGTAATCATGTATTTCCTCCTCTCTTTTTTTTGAAAAGTGTAGTTCATTTCCAGTTGATGAAGGAAAGCTCCTTTTTATAGAAGAATGCCAGCTAAAAAAATACAGAATGAAAGAGTGAGTTAGAAAATCTCCATTTTGCAATCCCTACTGAAAAATTGGACCCTAAAGCTATTAACTGAAAAGTTGTTGGGGAGCGGTGTATTCTCCAAGTATCAAAGTATCAAAGTAACTCCCTACAGATTACCTGCTAGTTGCAAAGGGAAAGTGGAGATACGTGGCCATCACTACCTTAACCAAGTGGTCAAGTTTCTTGGTTTACTAGAGAGAAAACAACGCTATATGTCCCTGATAGAATGCAATGTGAGGTATACAGAGTAACTCATGAAGTATTCTTGTTAGAAATGTTTCACCTGACCCTAAGCAAACCTTTAAATCTAACTTACAGTTTAGAAGAAATTCAGGGGACAGAAAATAAATTAAACAACACGAGGAAGAAACAATTAGACAAATCTAGAATATGACTCAATCTATAAAGCAACTAACTCAATTTCTTCTAAAGATCAATGTCATTAAAATAAAAAGATTGGGAAGGACTTCTCTAAATCAAAAGAGACTAAAATGACGTAACAGTCAAATATTACCTTGATTGGATCCTGGTTTAAAAAAAAACTATACAAGGTGTCTTTAGGACGATTAGAGAAATTTGAATGTGCCTGGGGATTAGATGATATGAGGGAATTAAGAATAATTTTATTGTGTGTGTGCCAATTATCAGCTTGTTGCCTCAGCTCCAAGTCACCCTTCAGCACTCGCTCTGCAATAACGTACTGGCTCTTTTCACATTTCTCATTTACAGTGAGCACGACGTTAAACTTTGTCAACAGAGGGCACAGGAAGGAAATTGCAGGAGGAAGAGGGCTTCTCTTCCTGGTTTCAGAAGGCTACATTTTGCTTTTTTTGCTCCTGTTGTCCAGTTGGTTAGTGGCAGATGTATATCTGGGGACATCTGGGGGCACACTGCCTCAGCTGTGTGCCTAGAGTGCACAGTCTCTTGGTGACCTTGCACCCCGGTCCAGACCCTGTGACCACCTTGATGTGACTTTCCCATTGAGGACACTGTGTGCTCCAGACCTCATGCCTGCTGAGGCATCGGACTTTCTCTGCACACCTGTTCTCCGGCATGGCCTCTAGAAGCCCCGAGGGTGGTTTCCTGCGTGCCTGGTGCCTGTGGACCAGTTCTGGCCTGGGAAAGCCAATAGACTTCTCCACTGTCCGTTGACTGTAAGCACACCTTCTCCAGTGAGGTCTGAACCCTGCCGTGTATGAACTCTTTTCCAAGTGGATCTTTCCTTGGGTATTTTGTTTCAGCTCGAGTGTAGTTTTTAGAGTTCTCTTTACATTTTTATAGTTAGTCTCTCATTGTATCTGAATAATTCTTTATATTAAACTTCTCTTTTTAAATAATCGTGTGGTTTCTGTCTCCTGTTGGGTCCAGGTGGATATAGTATGAAGCTGGTATTTTGGTCACCTAGGAGATGGTTCTTGTTTTTAGGAGATGCATGATAAGTCTTCAGCAGTGAAGGGTCACACTGTCTGCAACTTATTTCAAATGGTCCAGCAATATATACATATGTATACTGACCTATCTGTATGCAAGCATGTATGCGTGTATACAAATAATATGTATATATAAATTCATATGACAAAATACAAAATCTTAGCAATTATTGAATCTAGTGGGAAGGCATGTGTCTTTATAGAACCCATTCTTCCAATTTTTCTGTATAATTGAGAATTTTCATAATTAAAAGTTCAGGGGAAATCCTCTCCTTCCTTCAGTACCCTTGTTTAGTGCAAAGCAGGAGAGATTCTTTTATTATTTTATTGAAATAAGGCACTCCTGGTAGCAGTGGTGGAATATTCAGCCCAATTTCTTAAGCCTGGCTGTTCTCTAGAAATAGCTAGGAAACTTTTAAAATTATGGATGCTCAGAACCCACAAAATCTTGTGAATTAGAGTCTCTAGGATCTGGTTATTATAAGGGGAATTAGAATTCTAAAGGAGAAGATCATTGATCATTAAGGTGAGGGTGGAGTGCATAGCTGAATTCTTCAAGAGCATTTTGCAAATTACATTGGTTTGTTCTCAAATATTCTGACATGCTTTCTTAAGGAGCCATGCTCAAATTGGAGGAAAGGGTTGTAGTTAGAAAAAGCTCTTCCCCATGTGGCTGAAATGTCCTCTCGGTTGAAAGCCACCCATCAAAATAGATCTCTCGTTGACAATGTATGTGGCTGAAAATTTGAGCAGACCTGCTCACGGCAATGCTCTGCTGGTCCCATCCTATTCTGTCCCCAGCAGAGTCCCAGCAGAAATCTACAGTGGTCCAGCATCAGTCATTCTCAACTTCCTTTTGCAGCAAAGATGCTGAGGGAAGCTTAGCCCCGTGTAGTCCCCCTGATCAGGAAGGTGCCAGCTGGCACCCGCCATTGAATAGATAGTTCTCACACCCACCTTTCATTCGTCCAACATTTTCCACTATCAAAATTCCAAACATTTCAAAATCTTCCTTTTATATTCATTCACTCACCCATTCATCCGTCCATTCACTCATTCATGTGTCACACATTCTTTCAATATGATAGTGCCTGCTGTTGATCCCCTGCCCAGACGCTCTTGGATCTCTTTACCAGTTTTCATTACCTGGCTGCTAGTGGTGGATATTTGTTTCCTTCAGAGGATTTCTCTTGAGCTACTGGAGCTGAGGGCCTGGGAGTTTACACCCCTGCAGTGGCCAGGGACTGGTGAGGGAGTAGAAAGCTCGGCTTCCTTGCCCCTGGGCGACTTTACCTCTGAGCTGGAACGGTGCAGTCTAGAGCTCCCCTTGGATTAAGCTGAGGCTGGGACCTGCCCTGCTTCCCTGTCCCCTGTGCCACTTCCATAATAAGTCAGTGACATGCTTGCCCTTGCCTCGGGGTCTGCTTCAGAGACCCAGACCTAAGACAAGCCCCATTCAAGGGGCTGAGGATACAGCAGGAAACAAAACAAATCCCCTGTTCTTAAGGAGCTTTCATTTCAGGAGGGACAGACAGACAAACACCTGACGGATGCATGGGTCTGATGGTAGCAAATGCTGTGCTGAAATATAAAGCAGGGCACGGGGCCTGGATTGATGGCAGTGATAGCGAGGAGCTGTGTGAAATGGTAATCAGGGAAGGCCTTTGATAAAACGATGTTTGAGCAGAGATCCTGAGTGGAGTCAGGGAGTGAAGCATTTGGATATTTAGGGCAGGAACATTCCTAGGAAGGCAAACAGGTTATGTGAATGTCCTGGGGCAGGAATGCATTTAGCCGGTTTGAGAAATAGCTTGGAAGCCAGTATGGCTAGAGCAGAGTGATGGAGGAGGAGGGTGATGGGACATGAGATCCCAGCAGGCAGGGAGGGAGTCCTTTAACAATGCTTCAAAAAATCCCCTTATCCCTCTCTCCCTATCTGGTGTCGGGTATAGGGTCTTGCAGTTCATTGGGATGACTTTGGCTTTTACACTGAAATGGGGTGGAGACCCACTGGAGAGTGCGAGCAGAGGAGTGGTGTAATTGGATGTTCATTTTAAGAGGATTGTTCTGGTTGCTGTGTTCGGAATAGACTATGAGCACAGGGAGGAAGCAGAGAAATAAGCTAGAAGGCTGCTGGGCAATAACCCAGTAAGAAATAACTGTGCTTGGGACCCACGTGCCAGTGTCTGGGCTGAGGAGAGGTGGGCACGTTCTGGACGTAGGTTCCAAAGGTAGATCTGATAGCTGGAGGTGTGAGGTGAAAGAGAAAGATATCATTTTGGACTCCAGGGCTCTTGTCCCGAGCAATTGGGAGAATGGGTCATTCATTGACCTGGAGAAGGTTGAGCGACAAGACCATTTGTTTCCTTTATCCCCGTGATTCAAACTTACAATTTTACTTAAAAAGATGATGCACATCCAAAGGTAGAAAACATAAATAAAAACATTGATTTGATTATGTAAACATTTCAAACCTCTACATGTGAGAAAGAACTTGCAAGATAAATGAAAACTTAAAAAAGTATTTTAAATGTACTTGACAAAGGATTTATATCCTTATTATATAAAGAAACCTTACGAATTCATGAAAAGAAGTATATTTTCAAAGAAAAAAGGGAAAAGATATGAATGGGTAATTTATATATGTCTATGGGAAAAGATGTAAAACTTTACTTTGATCAAATAAATACGAAATAAAAATGGCATAACTTTTTACCTGTAAAGATTTAAAAAACTGATTATTCCTAATTTTGGTGAAGGTTCAGAGAAATGAAATATTCAACAACTCATGATAGGAAATGCATAATATTTTTGTAGCAACAAGACAATAAATGTCAATATTCATACTCTTGACCCATTTATTTCACTTTTAGGAATTTGAGGAAGAAAACCTGTGATCTGCCAAAAGATGCTGGTGTAGCCAAAGAATGGAATTTTAATAGTCATAAAAATCATAATTTGAGATATTTGTGAAAAAGCACAATAAAAATATCATGTAGAGTATGATCTTTATATTCATAGAAAAAGATGTAGAAAAATAGTGAAAACGCTAACAGCAGTAATATGAGGTTATAGGATTATTTTCATTTGCTTCTTTGTACTTTTCTGTATTTTCAGCACTTTTATTCATAATGAACATTTGTTTTTTTAATCAGAAAAAGTCCTTTAATAATACGCTTTAAAAAATTCTTTCTGCCTTATGCACAGAAGTGGAAACCACAGAGCCGGTCCTGGTGCAGCCAGTGTGGCAACAGTGGATCCAGTTTCCACAGGCAGCAGCGTTTGTTCCACAGGTGGGTGGTGCCCTTGGCAGTTGTCCCTGGTGGTGTCCAGGGCTGTTCCAGTGGTGGTGGGCAGCATGTTTGGTGTTGGCAGTGTGAGCCAAGTAAAGTGTCCAGTGCTGAGGCGCTGGTGTCTTCCCAGGACCACTGCTGAGCAGTGGGATTGAGAATCTGTTGCTGGTAGTGTGGCTTCCAAGTCAAGTTCTCTGGCCCTGCTGGAGATTATGTGAGCCACCAACAATCTCTTACTAAATGTCTTTTCTAAATACATGAGTCAAGAGTTGGTCAATGTGTATTACTACCAAAAACTTTGATGGATACACTTGTTTCTCGCTTTTTGATGTCACCTCCCTCAAAATCTCATCATCTGAAGTCATTCCTTTCATACTGCACCAGTGGTGGCGGAGGGGTTGTTTCTCTGCCACGTCGAGACCACTGTCCCTGTCCCTTCACCACAGTTCCATGGTGGCAGCATCTGCTTAAGCTCCTCACTGCTGTTGGTTGACTTCCAGAATCACTTTTGTACCCAGCTCCTCGATTTTGTTCTCAAAAACCTCTACAGTCTCATTGGTGACCCACCATACTTTTCTCAACTTCAACAACCTTTATTAGGAAATGTGGTTTTTTTTGTCTTTCTGTTAAATGGTACTTTTTTTTTTGATTTACCCTGAGTTAACATCTGTTCCCAATCTTCCTCTTTTTTTTTTTTCCTCCCCAAAGCCCCAGAATATAGTTGTATATTCTAGTTGTAAGTCGTTCTAGTTCTTCTTTGTGAACCTCCGCCACAGCATGGCTGCTGAGAGATGAGTGGGGTGGTTCCACGCCCAGGAATGGAACTGGGCTGCTGAAGTGGAGCACACCAAACTTTAACCACTAGGCCACTGGGCAGGCTCAGGAAATGGTTTGGAGTGAACAAGAAGACACCAAGGTGGGAAGGACAGATGTGAAACTTGCTGTGAAATGCAATGCCTCTATCTAGAAGCTAACACTCCTCAATAGTGTTCATGTTAAAGCTCAAATCAAAGGAGCTAAAGCTAGAGAAAAGACGATATGAAAGGGAATGTAGAAATCTGACCAGCAATAAAAAGACGGATGGGTTGGCATTTAGTGGCTGAGTTTGTAATTGCGGTCTAAGAGAGAGATGATAATACGTGCACCACCACCGCCTTAAAGCTGGCACAGGCGCATTCTATTGACTTAAGGATAAAGATCAGTAGCATTGTTATTTGGCTATTCTCTGAATTTTTAGCAATAAAGTCCCCTAGAAACCCTCAAGTCAAACTTTATGTTTGTTTAGGGGCAGAGGCCAGGGAAAGAAATTTCAAGAACACAGAGTTTTGCAGAGAAGGAGTGAAACTCAGGTAGAAAAGCTGATGGAAATGGAATGGAGCCTGGTGGAGCACACGGGTACCTCTCCTTGGGTTTGAAAGCACAGTGTGCGGCCCACATCTGAGGGACGACTTTGACGGCAAATCTTGTTCAGGTCTGTTCCAGCTTCAGGGACTCAAACTCAGAGCCGTTTCTCTTCCCCCCAACGCAATGTCCCCACCCCCTCATCTTTCATAGATACCTTCCTAATCTTCCACAGGTTCAGATGACATGTCCTGAAGCTTTTCTTTACCTTGATAACAACTCTGAGTCTCTTGAGTCCTCCCTCTTCTCTTTATTATGCTTCTTTGGCATTCACTTGCTTCCCCGACCAGAACTCATCTGGAAGGTTCATGGTTTGGAGCTGCTTTAAATCCGCAGATTCCCTTCCGCTGGTCACCCCTGCTGACCCTCCTCCTTGAGTTGTTCCTATGATTTGCTTTCCGTTAATAGCGCTGCTTCAACAATAGTGGTAAGAAGAGGCATGAAAACATACTAACTAGGTCCATTGTGTATGTTTGCCTATTCTCTTTCAGACTTTTCTGTGCATATACTAATATACATATGTACCGTTTTAAACTCACGTTTTATTTTTTTTTCAAACGTGGGATTATATTATAAGTATTGCTCTATTTTTCTCTTAAGAATATCTCCTGGGCATCTTTCCACGTCATTATGTGTATACTACTTCATTCTTTCTTGAACAGCTGCATAGTATTTCATTGTGTGAATGTATGTACTTTATTGTTCCAATTTCACATTTAGGTTGCTCCTAATTTTCCTGCTATTTCAGACAATGCGGCAGTAAATAACCTCGTGCATATATCTTTTTGCACCTGTGTTTTTCTGTAGGATGATTTCCCAGTAGTGGAACTGCTAATTTAGAGGATCTGTGCATTTTGAATGCTGATAGATATTGCTATACTGCTCTCCAAAAAAGTTATCCCAATTTACACTGTTACTAAATATGTTTGAGAGTGTGGCTCTTCTCTAAATTAATGCTGGGCTCACCTGGGCTCTCACTGTGCCTTGGGATTATTACCATTTATTTTTCATTGGTTCTCTATTTTACTGCCTAAATAACACTACTAGGCCTTTTATATTTCCGAGACCCCTAATTTAATCCTGCTCTTTTAATCTCAGGAACTGATCTACCTTCTCCTCTGCCATCTTCGATGTGATCACTGTTCATCTGCTTGCTTGTTGCCTCATGATCTTGAGATTGCTGCTGCAGCTCCACCCCTTACATCTACATTAGTAAAAAGGGGGAAGAATGGCACCAGCTGCATCTCTCTCTCTTTTTTTTTTTTTTTAAAGATTTTATTTTTTTCCTTTTTCTCCCCAAAGCGCCCCCCCGGTACATAGTTGTGTATTCTTCGTTGTGGGTTCTTCTAGTTGTGGCGTGTGGGACGGTGCCTCAGCGTGGTCTGATGAGCAGTGCCATGTCCGCGCCCAGGATTCGAACTAACGAAACACTGGGCCGCCTGCAGCGGAGCACGCGAACTTAACCACTCGGCCACAGGGCCAGCCCCTGCATCTCTCTCTTTTATCAGGAAAGTAAAGCCTTCTTAGAAGGCCCTGCTGGACTTCCCCTATTACATCTGTTTAGCCATAACTGGGTCCCATGGCAATTTCTAGCTGCAAAAGGAAATTGGGATGTTTAGTATCTGGCAAAATGGAACAAGATTGTGATGAATACGTGCATTGCTATTGATTTATTGCTCAGTGGCGTTGCTTCTAATTTGCTGCTATTATAAGTACTTTTAATGAACACCTTTGTAACTCAAGTTATTTGTCCCATTTTAGGATATTTCCTTAGGATAGATTTCAAGAGGTAGACTTACCAGATTGAAACAAAGTAGAATTATTTTTAAGCCTTTTCATAAACATTGCCAAGTTTGTTTACCAAAAAGTGACTGCAGCAGCTATGAGAACATGCCTCACAGTCCTCTGAACGCAGAGAGTGTAGTTGACCAATGGCCTATCCCAGGCCTGTGGGCTGCTCCTGGCCAATGATCTGGTGAGGCAGGGACACTCAAGCAGGCCTATTCCCGGGAGACACAGGACTCTTCTGATGGCTGCCATTGGCTGGAAGACTCCCCCATTGCTTTTCTGACTCTTCCTTAGGCTGCCAGACAGTCCAGGATGCTGACGTCAGCCTTCCCTCTCTTCTCCTGTGGTCAGATGGCATCGTGGTCTGATGGCTCTCAATCTTCCTTGCTCTCTCTCCGTTGTCTCACACCGACATTTCCCCTAGTAAAATTCTTGTATGTGTAATCCAGTCTTGGCATCTGCTTCTCTAAAGACCCTGACAAACACAGTTGTATTTGTTTCTACTTACTTTTCCAAATAATCTATGAGAGTGAGTATTTTGCTTCATCTCTGTCAGCATTTGATCGTTTCAAAACTTTTGTTACTTTGAAAAATGAAGAGAAGCATCTTACTTTAACTTGTATTTTTTAATAGTGAAGTTTTACATTTTTGTCACATGTTTTTCAGCCATCTGGAGAATCTGTAAATTGTTCTTAGGAGTCCACAGACACATAGCACTCACTTTGCAACAGGCACCTTTTGAGAGGAGTGGTCCCCACTGGCTCTTCCCAATGGTATGGCCCGCACTCCATCAGCAGAGTTCAGTGGGGAGGTGTGATCAGCTGCTACACCCTCAGAGCAGTGACCATGACTGCAGAGGAGCTCCAGGCTGAGGGACACGAAGATAACCCAGTCAGTTCCTCTCTGTGAAGTATCAAGAGCTAATCGTGTGTTCCAGCACGTGGTCCCCATGACCTCACATCTCCTGTGGGAAGGGGAGGAGGCCGGCATTTAGAGAGCACCCACCACGTGCTAGGTATTTCCCTACTCTCATTTCATTTTATGTTGGATGTATGATTTGCAATATTTTACTGATGAGGAAATTATGTTCAGAGAGTTGCCTAAGTCATACTTAAAGGCAAAAATCAGGTTTGAAGTTGCCCGCATTCTTTCACTAAATCAAACTTCTGAGACTCCTCTGGCCTGAAGTGTTTTGCCTCGCTCATACGGTTTTTCCACACTCTGCATTGCACTGCAGAGCTGTTTGCTCACCTGGATTGTAAGTTCATATCCTCAGTAAATATTCAGTAATAAATCACGTGGATGGTGGCTTGGGTTGACTTTCCAGAATTTGAGTCAGCCTGAAGAATTGACCATAACACCATCCTAAAAGTGGACACCGTGTTTAAAGGGGAGACATGTAGCATTCATTTATCAACCCCATTTAAAGTATCTTTTGAAATGCAATTTAAAAGCAATCCTCTGTCTCAAAAAAACAACCAACCAGAGAGAAAGAAAGCAAAAACACACCCCTGAAAATCCTTATACAAAGCGTGACCATTTATTTTTAAGTAAAATATTACACTATTCAACTCCAAAACCAAAGGATTTCGAGGATAAAGGAATCATGTTTTTCTTTGCAGAACCTCAGTTATTTTCAGGGCCATGAAAAGACCCAGGAGCTTGGTCTCATCTCCCCCCACTGTGGGTCTCTGAGGGCTCCAAGTTCCCATCTCCCCCTTGGTACCATGTGACGAGTTAATAAGGAGAAAATATTACTGCATTCTTAGCTTGCACGTCCCTAATAAAGCCCATATTTTAAAGCAGTTACGGAACTTTGCACAGAATCCAGGTTTAAAGGCAAATTAAATACATAAAAAACGAAGCCCGACAGCAAAGTTTAGTTACCTGAGAAACAACAACTAAATCTCTCTCTTCAGTCAGGAGCATAAGATAAATACTTCAAAAAATTCACTCTGCTTTTGCTTTCAATTTTACTTTAGGCCTTATTAAATAATACCTCTGGCAGGAAGTGTACATGTATAATTTAAAGCTATCCTGATCAGAATGTGCTGTAATAACTTGACTAGGTAAAAAATTTGTCTTTTTGTTACTGTAATGAAGCTTATCTTGCTGTCAGTTTCACGGAGGGATTGAGGTTACAGAGCGTCGCCGTGTCACTCTTTCTTGAGTACAGGGGATCAAAGTCAGGGATGGCAGCAACCTCAAGACTTGTGCAGCCCATGGATGTCCCTCCTCTACGCGAGTCCGCATCCAGCTGCAGCTGCTCTTAGCTGGGTGACAGGTGGCCTCCACGCTTTGCTTCATCACCAGTCCTCCTTGAAATTTTTCTTACTCCTCCTTCCTTTTCCCCTCCACTGATGTGTTGTTGCTGAGAGCTGCCATCTTTCTTCGACTTCCTCTCTGCTTTTGTCTTACCCTGTCCAATAACCTACCTCACCTGTTACCTTGGGTCCCATCTCCTGAGCATCGTCTTCAGCTTCTGTCCCTCTTCTTTGGGGGTTCCATTCCTCGTTGGTTCCCATTGTCACAACATCTGTAATGAAAGACTCAGGAAAGGATAAAAGATGTCTGGTTTCCTTTTGAAACTTGGTGAATCTTATTTTCTGTGTAAAAGAATTGTGTATCATTTATTACCTTAGTGTGACTTTGTGAGCATTTAAGTTAGCTAAGAGAGAGGCGATATAAAAAACTGTGAATCCTAAAGGCTCCTACCTCTGCTACTGGCCCAGGTCCTCTTCTTAGTATTTGACTAAAGTTCTTCTTTCCAAATCACATGGGTGGCATTTTCCTCTTTGGGGATTTTTCAAAAGGGAAAGCAATCATCTCAATCACTGTCATTCAAACAGGATGAGATCTGAGCACGGTTGTTATAAGTCATGCCAGCTGGCCGAGCAAATGTAGTTGGCGTGCTGCACAAGCACGATGTGTGGATTGTGATCATAACACAACTTATTTTTCCCCCCTCCTACTGCTTCTTTAAACTTTGTTCTGTGGGGAATAATCTTCCCCCAGTCATGGGTGGAAACTACCAAACCCATGATTTTTCTGCTCACTCTCAAGTAATAGAAATCCTGGAGTTACTTTAAGTCACAACTAGAGATGTGCTTTACAATTGGAATGCCCTGGCTAGTGATCCAAACTCCAATCCTACTGATGGTTTCCCCCCATAGACCTGTTTCTTCCTGAAAGTCCTGAGTGGGCGTGGTCCTTCAGTTCCCCATCACCTTCCAGTATCGGGCCCCACTCCTTTCTCCTAGAAGAGGAAGCTCAGGAAGAGAGGAGAGCACACTGGCATAGCAAAGTTCTTACTTGACTGGAGGGCTCCTGGACTGTGTGGCCTGGCAGATGATTAGGCCTGCAGATCCCTTTCTCTCCTTTGTGAGCTCTGCAGAGGTGGCCCTCCTGGGTGTTTCTCTTCCAGTTCTCTGTACTTGGGAAGAAGCATCTGTCTTTCGGGTGATTTCCTGTGACTCTTTTCCTTAATTTGGGGCATTAGGTGGTAAGTCTCTGGCCTCTTCCTGAGGTCTCTTAACAACTCCAGTTGACTCTATTGGACAAAAACCCTATGCAGGCTCTTTTTCATCTGGCTACTTGCAGTCTGTGGGGAACCATCACTCATTCTGAGCCCAGACAAACTCTGGGAGATCAGCCTCATCCCATGCCTGAAAGCCTTTCCTGGGACCTCCAGGGAAGCAGTTGGTCAGTCAGCCCTTCTGGCCTCTAAATTTCCCTGGGGGGAAGGGAACCAGGTGTCAGACTCCAGTCCATAGTTCACATTAGCTTTATCAGACTCAGGCACCCATCCTCAGTGTCACCCAATGCAGAGAACACATTTTAAAGCTCTCTGAGAGGTACCCTTGAGGCCTTTCTCAATTAGCTGAGACTCACAGTAAGATAACTTCTCTCTTCAAAGTCTTTTTATCAAACTCTTTAATCCCTTTCTCCTACCCCCTTCAATGTCTGTGATTTCATTGATGGGTCTTGTATTAGTTAGGATTCTCCAGAGAAACAAAATCAATAGGCTGTATTAGGATACACACAGACACAGTCACAGACACAGACACAGACACACACACACACACACACACAGAGTCTAGGATGCTGACACCAACCTTCCTTCCCTTCACTTGAGGTCAGACTGCGTTGTGGTCCGACAGCTCTCAGCCTTCCTTGCTCTCTCTCCAGTTTCTCTCACACCAACATTTCCCCTAAGAAAATTCTTGTATGTTTAATCCAGTCTCGGCATCTGCTTCTCTAAAGACCCAGACAAACAGTTATATTTGTTTCTACTTAGTCCCCCAGGTAATCTATGAGCATGAGTATTTTGCTTCATCTTTGTCAGCATTTGATAGTTTCAAAAAATCTTTGCTTCTCTGAAAAATGCAGAGGGTGTGAGGAAGAAAAGCTTCAGATCCCACTGTGGGAGATGAGGTGGGTAGTCTGCATTTCAGATGGGAAACTAGAATCCATTTTTCCTTTGGGACTTTATTATAAATGCTGCCCAGGTTCTAATTTATTTATTGTTAGCACGGATTCAGGTACATTATGGCTAAGTGGGATTGTGTGGGCTGATTTGTGGTTGTAACTACCTGGATGATATTATTTCAGGAAAAAGCATTTGAAATTCCAAACAGTTGGCTCCTAACTATGTATATACACACATGCTAAGCTGGAGTGGCCTGTATTTATGTTTAGTCTATAAATGTGGTAGAATATAAAACATAGGGAAGTAATAACTCAATATCATAACAAACTAAAGGAAAAAAAGGAAGTGTGATCATTGAGAGAATTCTTAGCAGCAATTTCATATGCCAGTGAATTTCTATCTGTTTAAGCTGAGAGGCATTTTGTTCAAGCAAAATCTTACATAGACCCAGAGTGTAAAACAGATAAAAAGCAATGCTGCTCTGGCTTCAGCAGAGACGGAGGTGGGAGCTGATGTATTCAGTCCATGCTGCCTGCACTCTAGCTGTAGAAGAGCTCCATGGAAACTCTGGGTCTACAGAACACAGTTTGAAAACACCGTTGTATACCACTCTATGACTTGGGCTCCTAAGTAAATCCAACAGTCACGCTCAAACATATCCAGGTGCAAGAATACCTAGATGTCATAGGAGTATTGCGGGCATGACCGAGAAAGGGTGATATTTTAAACGTGTCATAACTAATCTGTGAATTCTTGCTAAATCAGATGCCATATGTGCTGGTCCTTGCTCTCATGGCCTTTAGACTCATTTATTGCTCTTCGCTGCTCACTTTTGTTGCTCAGGAGGTGAATCCTTGCAGGTTCTTGTGACAAGTGGTTCCTGTTGGGTTTGGCCAATGGAAGGCCAGAGCGGGAGATTGCGGGCAGAGAGAGAAGGAGAAGGCGGGGTATTTCTCCTTCCTGTTCCCCCAGCCCAGCCCTCTCACTCCCCCCATCTCCCACCCATACCCTCCCCATTTCCAGTGAGGTCTGTGGCAGGAAGCATGCCTCCTCTGTGGCTCCAACTTTCCTGGACTGGTCTGCCATGACTCTAGCCTCCACTGATAGCAGGTAGCAAAAATCTAAAAAACATTTATGAGAGAAAAATCTTAAAACTGAGAAAATTTTGTCCATTTTCTTAGGATTTTTTCCCCTGAGAATTGCAAAGGGGAAAAAACATCATTTTTCTATTTTTACCAGTGGAATATCCATTTCCCAAAGAGACACAGTTTGAAAATCATGGCATCACCAAAGCCAATTTAATATTTTGGTTTTAAGAGTCTTTGGACTGTAAGACAAGACAGTGTTGAGGATTGTTTCAGTTGGAATTTGGGGCTATCTTGAACCCCTCCCTATGACAGCAGTGGTCTGGAGAGGGGCCCCAGGAATAAGTGATCCCACAGGACTGCTGTGCTCTCCCAGCATTTCCCTACCCAGGAAACACAGCACCTGATGCTTCCCTGAAGTGCTTACAGTCTTAGAATATTCCATCTTTACTTTTTCCCTAGTTTATGTATGGGATCTATATTAATTTGATCTCTTGATTCTGGAAAGGGCAGGCACTAAAATGCCAACACATTCAGTTTAATATCTCAAGACGCTGAGAACTTTTAAGGAGAAGCTAGGAAGGGGTCAGCTTTCCTGGGCAAACAGGTGTGAATGAAAGGGAAAGATCACAGCCACCAGAGGAGGAAGGATTTTTTCCTCTTCCAGACAGAATCCTTATTCTGAATGTTACTGAGAAGGTGACTGGAAAGGCCATATGCCAGTTCCCTGATTTCCACATGGGCATCATGCCATTGATAAAATCTAAGATTCCGTGAAATGGACTTCTCTTTGTCTTCTTTGAAGTTAACTCAGGACCTCAAAGGCTCACAGCTACTGAGCAGGCAGTCCTGGCCTCGGCAATAGGAGGTTCTGTAAATTTTCAGACCTATTCTTAGGACTAAACTTCATCCTGTTTGTATTTAACTGGTGAGAGTTAGAGGAAAAATTCTCTTAATTTTGGTGAGAAAGACCAAATCGAAACTACTGGTGTCATTCTTGCCAGCCCAGTGCTGCCCTAATCTAGGTAATAAAACCTTTCAGTCTGTGGCCCAATCCCTAAACCAGGAGGCCCAGCTTGGGCTAAACGAGGCACCTTTCCTTCACCAGCACAAAAGTGTGGAATCTGGAGTGACCCTGTGGATCTGGGGGTTGGGGGTGCCCACCTAGCCGCAGCCCACCACCTGTCCTAGGCCTGGCTCCTGGTGGAGTTCAGCTCCTGCCCTGAGTTCAGCTTTTTGTCCAGGGCTGGCCTTGCCGAGCCTTGCCTGCCCTCTCTCCCTGATTGGCTGAGGTCCTGCTTCAATCAGATGAACACATCTTCTGCTTGTTCTCAAAGTAAGATGCTGCTGTGCACCTGGAAGCCAGTGTACACTGTTGACCGGAGATGCCTGCTTGCTAGGTTCCAATCCACAACTCAGATTCTGTGGGTATCAGTTCTTCCTGGAACATTGGAATGTGGACATTAGGCTCCCCTTCTGGGGACACACACTATAACCTATCGGTTCTCTCTTCGCCCCGGTCTCCATCACAGCTTCTCCCCTCCAGACGGACGTTAGGTTCCCAATCTAATGCCACCTCATTCCTGACAACTGAGCCTCGATATCCAGGCAGCCAGAAAGAGATGTAATATCCAACTTGATTTGCACTGGTATAAATTTATATATGCAAATACAGTGAGTGTATATGCATATATGTGTGTGTATTTTAAAAATGAAAATACCTTAATTTTTCCTGATAGAATGAGATTAGTGTAAAAAATTCGAACACAGAGAATGTGAAAGTTCCGCCTACCACAAGTCGCCCCTTGGATTGATAATGTCAACAGTTTATATTGATATAATTCTCCCAGACCTTTATGATGTAAGTATAAACTCAAATATATCAATTATAATATATCTAAATATATGTAAGTAAATATATATATAATATATATTTAAAACAGAAATTAGATTGCATTTTTCTGTAACCTGCTTTTCACTTCAACTTTATCATTTACTGTTGAACATCATCCTGCCCTCATTTTGAATCTGGACTTGCTTTGGCTCAACTCAAAGGCAGTCTGTGATTTAAGTATGAAAGAATAATTCTTCCTCTCTTTTTATAGTCTTTTGAGGAGGTATGTTTGTTAAATTATTTATCGTGATAGGTTTTACAGAAATAGATGTTTTTTATTGAGACCATCAAAACTCTCAGTGCCTTAATGATTCTGTTGATTAAGTGGAAAACACATGAAGGCATGTCAACCTGTCAAGCAAAAGAAAATGCTCTCTCTCCCTAATGTAAATGGATTGCACAGAGGCCTGATTGCCCACTGCGTCAAGTCACGGGCTTTCATGCTCTACAGGCCAGGTAAGTCTTACTTTGCCCAGTTCTTGTGGAATGTTGAACTTTTAAGATGAAGAACCAAATTTTAAAACTGTCATAAATCTGAGTCTGGCTTTCAGAAGGCACGAATGCTATTTTTAGCGTGTCTGGATTGCATCCCTTTGGTAGTTGATGATGACTGCACAGTAAGAATGAAAAATGAAACTTCTGGAGATTGGAGAGCCAAGGAGATTGAAAATAACACCCAGACAGTGCAGCCTTTGGGTCACTAATTTGAATTCAGCTCAGATCAGTGATGACTACAAACTGTTCTGTCTGATGGCAGTGAGCCTTGCAGAAAATACATTGCTCATCCTTAGCCCCGCTAATTATGTCTCTAGGCTGGTCGGAGCCAAGTTTGCCAGTTTTAGATAGTAATCCCCTAGAGGGCAGGGACCATATCTGCATAATGCACTTTTCATGCCTTCACTCAGGTGAGTGTTGATTAGGGGTTTTGATTAGGGAGATGAAGGAAGGCTCCATCTGAGGGGAGCTGGCTGGTGTGAAATTGTGGCTACCAAGCACTCCTGTGAAATATGAGCATGACATCCCTTCCAGTTTGCTCTGGGTGGCCTTGGAAGTAGTTTAGTCCCACACAATGACAAATAGTCTCCTTTTATAGTCCTGTCAGCAAACACTGCAGCTCAGACTTTGAAATTTAAAGACACGTCTCTTTCCTTCTTTTCTGATTTGAACACATCTCTTGGGGTCCAGCTGAGCACTCACCTTTTCCACTGTCTTCCTTGATCACTTCAGCATACCTTGATCATAACACGTTATTATGAATTCCATTTGTTTTGCTTGTTAAATATTATCCTTCACTGATATTGATCTCCTCGTGAATGTGCCCTATCTCCCTATGTAGAGGCAACCTTTCTGAGGGTTAAGATCATATCCTATATCTTTTTGTAACTGCTCCAGCTACTAGGACAGTGTTTGCAATAGTAGGTGTTAGTTGTAGATTTTATTAATAGTGTCATTAAAAAATTGAACAAGGGGCCGGCCCAGTGGCGCAGCAGTTAAGTTCGCACGTTCTGCCTCTTGGTGGCCCGGGATTCACCGATTCAGATCCCAGGCTCGGACATGGCACCGCTTGACATGCCATGTTGTGTCAGGTGTCCCACATGTAAAGTAGAGGAAGATGGGCACATGGATGTTAGCTCAGAGCCAGGCTTCCTCAGCAAAAAGAG